CTTCATTCCGATACTATCGCGAAGAAATCCGGTTGCAAACTCAGAAGCATTAAGGTGGATCGATAACATTCCAGTGGAGAAGTGGACTCGGACATTTGACAATGGTCAATGATGGGGCCACATGACAATAAATCTGGTGGAATCATAGAACTCTATATTCAAAGGCATCTGAAACCTACCAATTACCGCTTTGGTTAGAGCAACATATTTCATGATGGGATCATTGTTTGACACAAGAAGTTCAAAATGGAGGGCAGTGTTACAATCAGGGCAGTTGTTCAGTGAATGCACGATGAGAACATTTAACGAGGAGGCTGCAAAAGCAAACACCCATAGTGTCACCGTGTTTGACCGCATTAAAGGTTGGTTCAGTGTATAAGAGATAATGGATCATAATGAGGGGAGGCCAAGGGGATATTATCAGGTCGAACTAGATAGAGGTTAGTGTGATTGCGAAAAGTTTCAAGCATTTCGCATGCCTTGCTCTCATGTCATAGCGACATGTTCGCATGTTCGTTGGACCCAATACAACATATATCCCCCGTGTACATGGTAAAAAGCGTTTTAAGTGTGTACATCAATACCTTCTTTATGTTGGCAAAGGAGGATTACTGGCCTGCTTATCAAGGGGACATTGTTTGGCACAATGAACAAATGCGACAGAAGAAAAAGGGGTGCCCGAAAAGCACTCGTATTAGAACTGAAATGGATACGACCAACAAAATGATAAGATTATGCAGTATATGTTGTCTTCCCGGACACAATCAGAAAAATTGTCCGAATATTGGGTCTAGCTCTGCAACCTAACTTTTTTATAGCAAACTATCCGAAGTGTTTAATTTGTTGTACGCAATATATTTCAATTTAAATTTGAGTTATCATTTCGTGTTCAATTTATCATTCGATTACAACAACTTTCACATCATGACACAAAAAATTACAACACCACATACTCAAGACAATAATACAACAACATGATAAACAGACAAAACAACTAAATAAATCATAATATCTAAGAGATAAAGACCATCATTACAATATCCTCTGGTCCAAGCATCATCATCATGACAACAACGTCACATCTCACATTTTTCCATGATCGACTTACTCTATTTTCGTTCCTCACTGTGATGTGCCTTTCTATTTTTCTGATTTGTTCACCTTCAGGAATGTTTCCTTCCAACCAGCGAATCAAGTGCCTCTGAAAATGCTTGAACGTCTGCGTGTTCCAGAGTTTGATCTTCACCAGAGGCTTTGTCGCCGAAAAAATGACATGCGCATCTCTTTTGATCAGTGAAAAATTTGGCAAGGGAGTTAAAGATATTTTCTAAGAGTTATGTAATAAATGGTGTGGGAAAATGAAGAGGATGAGTGGTTGTATTTATAAAAAATTGCAATAACACTGTCAAGCCAAAGAAAGTGACGCCTCCTCTCTAAAAACACATGCATGCGCCACACTGCATGACTTTACAGAGGAGGACAAGCCATGCAGTATGGCGTCTCCTCTTAAAAATGAATGCATGCGCCACACATAGTGGCTACTCCTCTGTGTGGCGAATTTTTTTTATTTGAAAAGTGGTCATTTTAGTAAATTTTTTGAAAAACTGGTTATTTAAGAATTTTTTTTTAAAAAAAAGTAATTATTTAAAGAAAAAAATTCGAAATCCAAACTTATATATTTTACAACAAAAACACTTTATTAAAGAAACACTTTCATTTTTGTCAAAAATAATTATGGATCTCAATATTTAGATATCCCCTGTTAAAATCCACATTTTAATCTTTAGATAAATTTAACGTGTATTGTGGGTATGTGTCTCTATTTCATTACAATAGGATGAATTCACATATCAAAATTTGAACAAACCTCTAGAAATTTTTTATATTCATTAATGTGTATTTATTTTAAAATACACGAGCAGTGTTTTAAAATTCAGTCCGATCCGGCCGGTCGGACCGGTCTGACCGAGAAGCGGTGGGCCAGGCGGTCCGATTAAGGGATAAGACCAAAATTACATTTAGACCGGATGAAACCGGTGTGAACCGGCCGGATCATCGATTAAACCAGTGAACCAGCGATTTTTATTGAACCGATAGGTTTGACTATTTATTTTATTTTTTAGGGCTTTTGAAAAAAAATTAACATAAACGCTTTGCCTCCTCGTTTCCCAAACCTAGGCATTTGAAAGATTTTCTTTTTTATTCTGTCTTTTCTTTTTCTAATTGAAGTCATATTCTCAATTTTCTCTACCAACAAAAACTCCCACTTGCTGCTGTTATTTGATATTCCTTGTTTGCCGTCAAAGATTTCATCCAAACATCAAAAACATGTTATTTCTTTTTTACTTGGTCTAATTTTCATTGATATTTTTCAACATGAATATTATTGTTTCATTTTGTTGATTAATTGATATAGAAAATAAATGATTAAATTTGATCATTTTTTATAAAATTGGGTCTTTTAGTTTAACAAATTGAGATAGAATTTGTATGAATGAAGCAGTTTTATACTTTTATGAATTAACTTATTATAGACTGGTAATGAAGTTGTTGTATATTGAAGATAGAAATTGGGATAAATATATATTACTGTAATAGTCGTTGTATATATTATGGAGATAGAAATTGAGTTTAAAACTATGTAATCTAAATTATATAGTAAGACAAAGTTTTCTGTTTTTTATTAATTTAAATTATATAACAAAGAAAAGTTTCAAGATTTTATTAATCTAAAATATATAACAAAGATTGAAAAACAAAGTTTCTATTTTTTTATTATATATGGTGATGCACAGTAACGATGCTTGGTAGTCTATATGTAATATACAACAACATATTCATATATTTTGGATTTAGATATGCTACATATTTAATGTTTCTTATAATGTTTTTATAAATTCAATAATTTTTGTTTAGAATTGTGTTTTGTTAATATTTTTGTAATATAGTTTTGTATTTTTAAATTTTGATTGATATTAAAAATTATGGATCGTTGAGTATGAATTTTTGTGACTTATTAATAATACTTTAACTTATGAATTGTTAAGTTTCTATCACTTCTTTGAATTTATAATTTGCTACATTAAGTTTCTATCACTTATTTTGATTGTTACTAATACTTTTGTTTATTCTAAATTATTTAAATTTATAATTTTCTATATTATTATAGTTACAAATTTCAGGTAATGAATATATTTTTTATAGAAACCGGGTCAAAAGCCATGCAGTCTAACTAGTGATCCACTGGTCCGACCAGTAACCCAGTGACCCAGTAACTTTACCGAGTCGATCACCGATCTGAATTTTAAAACATTGCACATGAGTGAATTTGAATTTTAAAATCTGGATAAATTCCATGACAAATTTTCCACTCTTATATAAAGTTAGAGAAATTTGACATCTTTTAATAATCTTACCTTATTAGTCATTTATAAATTAATCCTACAATAAATCATACACATTTTTCATTTAGTAATAATATCAAATATTCAAATAAAATATTGGTAAACCATACATCAATGTTCATTAAATACAATAAGTCATAATACAAAATTTCAAAATATTAATATCAAAATACAAAATATTAATGGTAAACCTCCATGTTTTAGGATAGATTGAGATTTTTTACGGTTCACAAATGTCAACTTACTCATTTAAACATTGGTTAAATATTTTAGGTTTGACACAATTAATATAATCCGTCTATCATAGATTTGACACAATTATTACAGTCCTTAATCTATGTGTAAAAACCCCCGTCATTTTGAAATAGAGGGAGTGATAGTGTTAACCATTGAAATGTTCGATACCCCTTAGAATTATAGACACGAGTCTAACCTTGCACTTGTTGAGAATCAAACACGTAGTTTGATAATGACCCAACTTTATGCATTTGAAGCACGTGGCATCTTCTTTCCTTTTCATATTTTCTTCTTATGCAGATGTGTCTTCTTAAAGTTGATCAAATTTTTGTTGGTAAGCTTATACTTCTATATATATTGATTGTAGCACTTGACGAATAATCACATTTCTTCTTATTTTGAAAAGTCTTTGTTATAACTGTCATTATCATCATATAATTTCTTTGTCTTTAATGATGAAGTTTTCAAGGAAATATATTGTTTATCTTCTTTAACTTGCTCTTTCTCTTTGACATTTACTTCGTTTGCTGCAAGGCATTTTAGTTCATTTTCATGTTAAGCTAGCTTTCCAAACAATTTTGTGATATCTAAACTTTTCATATCATTTGACTATTTAATGGCTATAACCTTTGGTTACCATTTCTTGCACACATATCTTAAAATTTTGTTAGCACAATCTTTATTAGAAATGAACTTTTCCAAAATTTTTAATTTGTTGATTAAATGGAGAAAACGAGTCTACATGAATTCCCCAATTTCACCAGGTTCCATATAGAAAATTTTATACTCCTCTATCAATATATTAATCTTAGAATCATTAACGTCTTAAAGTCGCTCGTAAATGACTTAAAAAGAATTCCACATTGATTGTACACTCTTATGATGTGAGATAAAGTGATATATTTTAGTGGTTAATGCAACGATAAATATATTCCTGACCTTTAAATCATAGTGTCAATTTAACAAAACCTACGCTTACTGATACATTGCTATCTAGGCAAAAATCTAACAACTTATGATTATATGAAAGAGATAAAAACAACCTAAACATATAATTTTACGAAATTAAAAGAGAGAGTACATCAAATTTATAGCGGTTCGACTATAATTCCCACTAAATCTAATTCACTCTCCAATAGTTTTTCATTAAAAATATAATCTTTTCTATATCTATAATATAAGAACATGAAAATTCTAAATCTTTCATTTGCTAAAAATCCTCCACATTTTCTTTTTGAGGTTAAATCTTATCTTAAATATGACAACTACTTTGTTGATGTTGTTGTTTTTAGCAATTTGGCCTTCATATAGCACTTAAGACTTCAAATGAAACCAAACCACCACTTTATCACCTTCCCAATGCTTACTTTTTTGAACTGGTTTCAGAAAAAGCAAACGTCACTTCTGCCTCTGCCCATTGCTTCTCCCAATAACACCAACACACTTTCTCTCTCTATCCTCCTTTCTTTCTCTCTCTTTATCTCTGTCCTTTCTCTCTATCTCGAACTTCTTCCGTCTTCCTCTTCCTATTCCTTCTCCCTCTTCTTTTTCCTCTTCCTCAACGTTGTTTTGTTGTTTTGGGATCTCATCGAAGGAAGAGACACAAATGATCCTCACCACTACAATACGCCATAGCCTCTACATTTCACAACTTCGGCAGGAATACCACAGTCGTCGCTATCATTAGGATTTCGTTTTCGGTCACATCATCACTATCCTCTTGGTTGTTCTCTCACGACCCTTTATTATCGTCAATCACCAAAGCTCGTGTTTCAGATCCGTCAAGATCCATCACGAGTTACTCCTTTTTTTTGCGAAATTGTTGCGGTTGTAACTCGTCATCCAAAAGCATCACAAACGTAAGGTATCTTATATTTTCCCTTTGTGTCTTGACCTTCTGGAAGACCTAAATGAAATATGGTGGATGTGCATTATGGGAAGAAACTGTACACTTTATAAAGGAAACTCGATAATTAGTTGATGATTCAGACGAAGGCTAATTACTTTTTCTTTTGTGATAAGTTTAACATTTTTAAAGATATTTCGTCTCAAAGTTGACTTCTATGTATAAATGCACTTGCAGATGTGAATCTTGTCATGGTCAATCTGAAAGGCTTCTTGGTTCTGCAAGGGAAATGAAGGATTCTATAAACAAGAGGAAATCATCAAGTTCTTGATGCCGATGAACAACTCAATGGTTCTTTGTTACTTGTGAATCCATTTGATAACTGCTTCTGCTGCTAAAGATACGTTTAACCATATAACTTTTGAAAATGGATAGATAAGTTTAACCATATAAGTTCTGCTGCCAAAGATACGTTTAACCATATAAGTTCTGCTAAAGTTGATTTTGATACAGTGCCAAATGTCAAATATGTTTTCTTTATGTTAAACTTAGTTGATTTTGATACAGTGCCAAAGTGTGAATCACTGACACAGTAGTAAACCACCTCTTCAGTTCTGTTCTATAGCTCATTTTCCTCATGTAAACCACCTATAATAAGTTTTATTTTACGAGAAATGTTCATATATTCTTATTTAACACCTTTTATAACACACAGTTAATAACTTTGGCAACATGACAAATGTGGAGGAACTGTGCTTATGCATGTTGGAAAAATGTTGTTCTTTATTTATTTTTATAAAGTCTTTTCCTCAACATGGTCCACATTAATTAGTTTAATTGGGCTCCCAAACATTCTACTGAAGTATCAAATAAGTTCACTCATTCACATGAATGAGATCCTATTCAAGATATTTATTTAGCTAACTGTAACTTTTCTTCTATAATTCATCATGGTGTGTCATCTATACACAGTTTATCAAACTATAAGGGTGAGACAATTAAAAAATAATTTGAGACATCTCTTATTGAGTTTTATTTTTGTTTAAAGAAGCCGTGGATTGATTCACGATGTGAATATTTTCAAATTTTAAAGATATATATTTTAAGTTATTGATAAAAATATTGAATATTAATGAGAATATTGAATTATTGATAAAATTATTAAATATTAACGAGAACATGAAGTTACTGAATAAAATATTTAATTTACGGAAATATGAAGTTAAAGATTAAAATATTGAGTATTAACGAAAATATGAAGTTACTGGTCAAAATATTGAATATTAACGGGAACATGAAGTGATTAATCAAAATATTGAATATTAACGAGAACATGAAATTATTATTTAAAATATTTTATATTAACAAGAACATGAAGTTACAAATTAAAATATTTATATTAATTAAGCATTCTATTAATTTTTTTCACTAACCATTAAAAATAGTGACATTATAGCGTACCACGCCAGTACCCGTGTGAACGCACAGATAACACACCACTACTGTGTGAGCGCACGGGTAAGCATATCAAAATTTGTGCGAGTTTTTGTACAATTAAAAAAATAAAAATAAAAATAAAAATAATATATTAATCGAAACGAGAGAAAAATATGTTATTTTTTAATTATTTATGTATCTAATATTTTTATTTGAAAATTATTTTTAATTTAAGATATAATTTTTTTAAACATAATATATGAAAAATTGAAATATATTATTGAGGTAAAATTATTTTGATAAAACAATTTTATTTTTATTTTAAAAATATGTCTTTCTTTAATAAATAATAAATTATTTTGATAAAATAATTTTATGACATCTTAATTATATTTTATTATATTTTGAAAATAAAAAGTGTGCGTACCACACCAATACCCGTGCGAATGCACGAGTATCCCGCTAGTTTTGTTACAAATTGCTAGATGTTTCGTGCAATCACAATCCAAATAATGATGAAAATATAAAATATTTGATGTAGACCTTAATTGACATGTACAAAGTATCCAAAACTAAATCCTCGTGAAATCTCTACTCAAAATCGTTTTTTGAATCTTCCAGCTCAATAATTCTGCTCAAAAGTCTCTGTTTTGCAGCAATCCTACCAATCTCTTGAGCGTTTGTCTGTTTAAAGATTGAGAAGAACTACTACTTTGTATGTAGGTTTCCATAAAACTCTATCAAAGTAATTCTAGATAGAAAAACCTCCTTCTTTTCTCTTGGACTTGTCAAACCATCCACAACCACACACACTGTGCAAACCTCTTAAATCTCAAGAAATTTCAAAGAAACGTTAAACTTCATAACATAATGTTCTCAAAATTCACACATCCCAAAAGATGAAATTTAGATCCCCACAAAAATGGAAAAAGATTGAGGTATAAAATGAAATGATTTGTTTGCAAAACACTCAACACATATTCAAAATCCTTTTTGAAAATGGGAAAACAAGCGCATTGTGAAATTTTAAATCAATAGCGGAAGTGCATATTTTTCAACATTGTGAAAGTTTTGAGTAAAAAACTTTTACATGTGTTAGAGATATAACACAAAATTGAGTGAAAATGGTGTATGATTTGAGTCATAAGCAATGAGTGTGATTCGATTCAAAAGATCAAGTGGTTTGAATCAAGATTCGAGAAAATATGAGAAACCATCTGTATGATTCAGGAACACATTTTATAATTTGAATCACATGATCCGAGTCATGAAAATATGTGATTCGAATCAAAGCTCTAGAAGCAAACCCATGGAAATTGCATATTGTCTGATTCAAATCAAGAAGTCTATGATTTGATTCAAAGTGATGTGATTTGAATCAAAGATATGGTGATTCTAATCATGGAAACATGAAAAAAGTGTTTGGGCTCTATGCAATCTTGATTCAAGCCATATAATAGTGTGATTTTAATCACACCTCTACAATCTCAATTTTTGAAAAATGTAAAGTGTTTTTGAGTTTCTAACATTATCATGACTTGAACCGTTATCAAATATAGTTCTTGATCCAAAAAATCAACAAATTAACTTGAAGTATATTGCTAAAAACTATATCCAAACACTTTAATTTATGCATGCACAAAAATAGATTTAAAAATTAACTCTCAGATTCGCAATTTGCAACGAGACTCAATAACAATATAAACAAAACGAAAAGAAAAAGAGCAAGCAACAAAACATAAACTCACGAGAAAGTGACAATGCAACATGCAAGTTCATAGAGAGCATCGTAGGAGGATGAATACCAACATGAGAGAAGTGAGAGAAGTAGTAAAAAAGGAGGTGGTTAAAAAGGAAGGGGTCTGTCCAGTTTAGGTAGTATCCAAGAAAGGGGGATAATGGTGATAAAATTGATAAGGATGAGTCGGTTACTACAAGAACCATAATAGGGTGGAGGATGTGTATCCACTATAGAAAGTTGAATAAATCTATAAGGAAAGGTCACTCCCCACTCCCGTTTATTGACCAAATGCTAAAGCATTTAGAGAAGCATTCCCACTTCTTCTATTTAGATGGATATTTGGGGTTTTTCCAAATATCTATTCACCCAAGTGACCAAGAGAAGACAACCTTCACTTGTCTTTATGGGGCATTTTCCTATAGGAGAATGCCTTTTGAACTATGCAATGCACATACTACCTTTCAATGCGACATGATATCGATCTTTAATGACTTTCTATAAGACATTATGGAACTATTCATGTATGAATTTTGCGTTTATGGATCTAGTTTTGAGATTTGTTTAGAGAATTTAGATAGGGTTTTAGAAATATGTGTTAAAGTCAACCTAGTGCCGAATTCGAAAATCCCCACTTCATGATGAAGAAGGGCATATTACTTGGACACCTAATGTTTGAAAGAGGGTTAAAGGTAGCAAGGAGAAGGGTGGATAGCGAGGAGATGACTCACCACTTTTGTGTCTATATTTGGCATATTGAAGAGAGTCCCGACAAACAACTTGATGTTCTTCATGAGTTGGTCGACTAGTTTTCATTCCTCCTCTGTGGATAATGAAGTGCCTATATTTATAACCTAATGGGCGTGAGGACCTATATAGACTTCCTTCAAATCTTATGTGGGCATGATTTTTTCTACTTCCGCGCCTAGTCTAGGGTCCCAACACTCGAGATTAGTATTTGGAACTTCAGAAAGGGAATCAACAAGGGCGAGCTCTTCCGTTGTTATCTCCAGGCTACTTTGGTAATATTCTCGAACGACTTATTGGTCTCCTCGAATTATACTGACCCGACCCACCAGAAAATGGGTATTTTAGGGCCAGGTACAAATTGGAAACGACTGCTCCCAGGGTGTTGATGGTCGGTCACCCGAGGATGATATTATATGGTGATACACCGTCCTTAATAAGGCAACTCACGTTGATCGTTTTGTCGTCTACTTCATCACCGCATGTTGTCTCCAGGGTTACAAAACCCATCATTTGTACATGTTCGCCTAATAACCCTATTAATGAAGCGTTAAAAATATTTATATTGTTAGGATCAAGCTGTAGTTTTTGGAACATCCCAAAGTAGGGCATCAGTAGAGCTACCAAGATCTATCAAGACGCGTTTGATATCCTAGTTTTCATGTTGCACAGTGATGACCATGAGATCATTATTGTGAGGGTTGATGTCGAGGGCGTCCTCCTCAAAGAAAATGATTTTAACTTCTTTTCACTAAGGTGTTTTAGATAAATTCAGAGGATATTACATTTGCTGCAACACCTATCTTGCGTATTTCTTTTGGGCTGCTTTGGAGCTGCCTCTCCCGGAGAACCTCTGGAAATGGAGTT